CGCACGCTAAAAGGGGGATATGAACATAATTAACACATTCCGGACCGCCGTTGTACTAGGATCTTCGCGTAATTTCATTACTTCTCGAACCGATAATCAGCGAGTTCATTTGTTTCTTTCTTTCTATGAGATATTCATATTTTCTGCCTAGAAAACGTATTATGATACGTATTCTTCGGAGCATGAAGGATGCCGAATGGACAGTATGAAACGGCGCAGAGAGAAAAAAGTATGACACACCATGTGTGTTACGCGGTCCGGAACGTGTTAAGGAATGAGCGCCCAAGCCAATTTGGTAGAAAAACATCAATAACTAGACCATTATTATCATAGTTGTTATACCACCAAAACAAATAAGCTGTGTTCGGTTACATGGCGTGAGATGGAGTGTACATAGGTCACGATCATTTACCATTTTCACAAAAAAATTGATGAGCTTGAGGGGACTTAAATACCCAACCACGCTTAGATCAGAATTTTCCAAATGATTATGCAGTAGGATGTTAGTTGACACAAAACTATGTCAATATAGCTTACCCTGCAAACTGAGTTGGACACGTATTTCGGAATCCTGCTTGTTGAACGGGAAGACGGATGGATCTCCGCTGGTTCAGAAAACTGCATAGTAACCTTCTCTTGCGGAGGAGAAGGACTCTGAAAAATCACTAATCATCCAGTTAAAAGGTCGAGCATTACCATGCCGTTCAATAGAATATTACACACTCAAGGATTAAGTATATTGTGCCGAACAATGAAAGTCCGGCTACGATTTTTGTAAAAAGAAAGTATTTCATGGTTATATACAAATACATCTCCAAAACTTGTTCCTTCATTATAATCGCTGTTTAATGTCACAGTTCGCCGTTCCAAAGTTATCACAAGGAAGCATAAAACTGGCAGGATGTGGGGCGGCATCGATGTGGCGCACTCGCCCCCTAAGTGTAGTGAGCTGAGATGCAGGCTCCAGTTTCTTCTTGGTCAAGGCTTTTGCCCATAACGCCTGGCGATCTTGTGATGCCTTCAAAATTCTCTGCATTCGACTGCCAGAATGGACTATAGGAGTATTCCACGCTGAACGTGAGGGCGGAGGCAGAAAACCACATCAACAGTGGGCCCTTACCCGATTGCGCCTTACAATGAGGGGCAAAGCAGGAAAGGATAGCAGCTCCTTGTGTCCGCTTATCCGACTGACGCGTTTATTGAATTTCTATCGGCTTTCTCCTCTTACTTCTTTAAGCTTATTTCTAGGAAATTATTTCGTATAAGGTTTGGAGTTGGATGCCTTACAATGGACGAAAACTAAAGTAGGTGGAAGTAAATGGAAAGCAACCTTCTCTTTCGTTGCTGATATCGGTATCATGGTGATATGCTGAGAAGAGGAAGGCACCGATGGTACAACTGTTGGCGGCGATGGTTGTTTTGGAGGGGAAGATACGACATTGAATGAGCTGAAGGATTCGAACTATTTGGTCATTCAACGCTGATATACATTTCAAATATTTCCAAAAACAAGGTAGACACCTGTTGTCTCGAGATGGTGCACTGGTGAATGACGTAATTGGCGGCGCAATTTCTCTCGTCATGGGCACCTGAATCATGTGAATTATAGATTAGCTATGAAGAATCACCATTCTCATCCATTCACTTGATAATTTAATTGGGCATTAAAAGGGGAGGCAACCGGCGAGTTCAGCCGCGCCCATTCTGATCGTCTGCTCCGCCAAGCTGACCAATTGGAAGGGGGATTTGTGCGAGAGATGAGCAGGACAGTCAGAGTCGCGCGTCTCGTTGCATTCCCCCAAACTCTATCAGCGTCCTGAATTGATGAAAATATCGTGTTCAGTTGCAAGCATTACCGTGGTAACAGGAATAGTAGTGACAGCGTTTGTAAGTGGTGGTATTGAGGGGACAGGCGGTTTTTCGATTGTCTCTCCTATAGAAAGAGTGCTAATCAGCTGTTCGGTTGGTACAGAAGATACTGGTACACCGGTCGTCGTTGGGTTCGTGGCCTGAATTGGATCAAACTTTCACATAGGTAATGAATTTCCATGATAAAATCTTACTTCTGGTTTAATCGGCGCTTTATTGAAAGCGTGACTCTGTCGGGGTCCATATCGCTGACTTGGTCTCCTCTCGAACGTTGCTGTTGTTCTGCGTGATAGACGAGCGCCATCTTTGTGAACAGCCTCATATTCGGTCCGACCTCTGCAATCATGGTTACTCGCAGGTGCAAAATTTATACGGAAAATTCGGTCACTATGATACTGACGAGTACTCCCCTTGTTCCCCATCCCTGATAAGAACCGCTGTTAGTCCCCGTTTCGTTGCTTTCTCAGAAACCTCTTCAGCGTTAATTTGCACGCTTGACTCATAACCCAACAACGACCGCGACCTTTCGGCGCCCTCATGAAACCCAAACGAGCTATAGAAAAAAAAACAATCGCACCTGTACTTGAAAGTGCTTCCAAGGCGGAATAACTGCGAACGTGAGTGCTTTACACAGGAACGAGTCTTCAACCGGAAGAAAGTGTGATGTTCGATGGCACATTTCCACAGGTGTTTGCACGCTTTATGAGAGGCCAAATTGAAGACAAACGTGTGCAGCTGGACCTGTCCGGTTGCCTGCAACTCATGATTCCACTGAGAAAGCAGCCCATCAAATCTTCAGTCACAGTAATGAACTTACAGACTGATCTGCATCTTCTTCAACAACCAGCGTTATTTTGCGATTTTTGAAGTCCAGTTTTTGAATTTTCTCCCAGAAGAATAGGCCAATTTTTTCGTTGCCATCATAAACCAGCATTCCTGACGGTGTCAAACCCAGGGTGTACCTGGAATGAGATCGAGTAAGGGATATCAACGCACAAAAAACCTCTCTTCTTTCGTGCATTGAGGAGAGGCACCAGGAATTTCGTTCCAATGCTACTCAAAAGTCTCGGAAAAAGCCTTCACGATGTTATCGGACTTTCATGAGTAGCTTTTGAGCTCCATAAGCTTTTTTGTGCTAGTTTCCGATGTCTTTTTGTGGGTACTCCCGGCGGGAAATTTCAGCCAAAATCCGATCTAATCCGGGACAGTGAAGGATTGATGGAGCACACTTTTCTACTTAAAAGTAATTACTCGCAACTATTTTCGCGACTATTATCAACTAATTGGTCAACCAACATTCCGCTTACTGCCAATAAATGGGAGCTATTCTGGACGAAAAGACGACATAAACTTACTGATTCCCATCCTTTCCTTCTACAGTGTGCATATCCACTCCATACCTCTCAATCCATTTGGCACGGCTTAGATAGTTTGCCTCAGACTGTGATGGGGTTTGACCTCTGGAAATTGGAGGCAGAGAATGGACAGTCATAAATAATGCTGTTACCGACAAAAATAGTATTAACAAAGGTAAACTCTGATACCTGCACAGTTTGTATCGTTCTAAGATGTCTAGCTCCATTTGGGCATCCTGCTCAGGGTGGAAACGGAATTGTGAGATAAATAAAGCGTTGTGTTCATTTGGATTATAATCACCCAGTTCTGCTGAAAAAGCATGAAACTGAATGAACGGAACTCACACAAATACTATTTCCACGTGAAATGTCATGGTTCAAAAGCATATGAAACCCACACTGAAGAGCATATGCAGCCAGTTCAACGGCAACTTCCTTACTGCAGGGAAGTCGACCAGACACAACGTCTTGCTTAACTTGAAGGAAGAATTGATACCTTAAAATGAACACTTCGCTCGGATAATTTTATGTCGCCCTAATCCTTGAAACTACAACAGCTTCGACTCCTACTCTATTATTTGCTTTTTTGAGTGCGTACCTTGAATGCACAACGTTACAAAACAGCGGGACAATCATGTACGTATTTAGTGCGTCTTCTTTTCAAACAAATTGTTCAGGGAAATCAAAGGAGGGAGTTTGGGTTCTGATATCAATGCACATGGCATTGTGTGTTAAGAAAGAAGATGAAGTGATATTCGAACCAAAAAAGGCGAAACACTTGCCTTGTGAGTTCTTCTTTGAGATTACTTGGCTCGTTTGTGTAGAACTTCACCCGGAAACGAAAAGTGTAAGGTGGTCCTATAGGGACTTGTTTAACGATTTTCTTCATAGGATCGAGCCAGTGCTGGAATCGGAGATCTTTACTAAAGACGACAAAGAGCGATGTTAAGAGACACACAGATATTGTCAGCGCGGTCGCGAAGTATCGCTTTCCAAAAAGAACCGCTTCGCGACTGCTCGCCCAATATTCGCGTATGCGGTCCACTTCTATGTACGGTACACACTTACATGTACATGGTAGTGATCGGTGAACTGCAAGCCAAAGTAATCCCTCTCTTCAAGATCAAGGGAGTAGAACACCTGATCGTAAACTTCCGATGCCAAGGCGTTTTTCTGGAAAAGACACCATTATCATAATGCCCTCCAACGTCCGAAAAGTCACTGATAATTCTAGCACCCGAGAGGAATGTCAAATGATCCCTAGGGAACTTATTAAGGAAAAAACAATGTTCGTTACTAAATTCGGAATGTGTTAGGCAGCGTTCATACTTTACGATACCGAAAATGGGTCGGAGAACAGAAGCATGCTCGCTAAAGCAAAGCGTATTCGTTTATTTGGCGAATTGAGAGGACTGCAGAATAGTGCAACGCGTTTGAAAAGAGCAAATAGGGAATGATCGCTTCTCATCTCCCAGTTCGCCAGATCGATGCGTATACTTTCCTTTGACGCCCATTCTCCTATCCTCTAGTGTCGCAATGTATGCACGCAGCTTGGATGGAGCAAGAAGTGCAAGCTTAAGAGCGAAATATCTGTGCATATAAACGTAGCACGGCATCATCATCATTACATCATTTATTTGGCCAGAAAATATTCACATCTGTTGAACACTGCACCCTATGCTGAAATAAACCTCAAAATTACGTACCGGTACGACAACGTTGAGATCGGTGCCATCAAGAAGTAGCACCTTACAGCTGGACTGTCGTCGGTTGTCAATTTTCGGTGTGCTGTCCTGACGTTTTATCTCGCACTGATTAGGCGGCGAACGGCGAAATCGCTGTGACAGCGAACGAAAGAGCGACGGCATTGCACAACTGAAATGAAAATTACAT